CAGCTCCATTGCGGTAAAAATCATGGGTCGTACCTTTTGATCGTCTTGATGGGGTCCGGAGACTCGAGACTAGCCATCCACAGGGAAAAGAGGTGGGAAGTGAGAAGGGGGTCGGGCAGGGATCTCAGAAAATCCTTAAGTAGAGCGGCCACTGCGAAGACGGGCGCATCCTCGAGGCAGCTGGTGTCGCCCGAGGACTCGATCTGGTCCTTGAGCTCCAGGACAACCCTCAAGTTGGCGGACTTGCGGAAGATGCCTTGGGTGGACGGGCCCTTGGCGAGGAGCTGCTGCAGCATAACGAGGACCGGCTTTGGCAGGCCGTTCTCGTCGAGCCGTGCCAGATTTACGCCAAAGACGCGAGAACTCGGGGGGGAAGACCTTCGCAAGAGACCCCATACCCGGGATTTGTGCGACTTGGCGTCACCATTGACCGACGCCAGATTTCGCGAGTCGGTTTCCTTGTACTTCTCGTACTTGGCAAGTCTCCGAACCTGAAAAGCAAAACGTTTTTGTTAATCGTTAATTTCTTATTGGCTGCAGAAAGACAACTACATTTTTATAATTTTAATATGTCAAGAACTCTAAATTTTCGCTTGTGTCGGGGCAACATTACTCGTTTGATAAAAATAAAAAGCGCCCTTCCCAGTATCCCGAAACTGTAATCACCGAAATTCCGAACGTTATATGCGTCATGCACACAAGCCGGGAAATTCAACTTTCTCGGTTTTTTTTCCCTGCTTCAAGTACACGTAGCGCCTGTCGTTCGGTCCCGGGGGAAAGATTTAACTTCAACGCGCCAGTTTCCCCGACTTGAAATGATACATTTTTCCGAAAGCTTATCTTATCTCTACTTGCTAAATGAAATAATCGCACATGCGCCGAATCCAACCAATTGTTTGTACACGCGCAAGAAAAAATCAATGCTGTACACAGCTGATTTACGCTTCCATCAGCGTAAAAGTACAGCAAATACTTAACAAAAAAGGCATGCAGGAAAAATAAATAGTGCAAAGACGCAGCTGTGCCCGAAAACACCGGTGTCTCGAAAATCGGACATAACGCTACATCAGAGGTAGTACAAAACTAGCTCTGTGATGCACCCCAGCCCCGTTTTTTAAATGTAGGCAAATGTTCGAGGCAAAAGTTCAATGTATTTTTAATTTAATTCGAAACTTACCTCACTACTCGGCTGGTCGTCATTTGATCCGCGCCGAAGGGATCGGAAAGACGCTCTAGTTTTCTTCCACCAGCTGGAAAAGGTTGTTCTCTTCATTTTTCAGTGTGAAATAA